TGTGCCTCTGGATCTGGTGTCGGTTTTTGTGGGAGGGCTAATTTCCAGATGTCTGGCAAGCGGGATGTGTCATCACGCTTGTTCATGTTGTGAGGGTGTTTCTCTATCTCGATGGCTTCCATGATTATTCTCTTGTGGTGATGTTCCATGTTAAAGAGCAATTTGGAATCTGCAAAATTAATTTCGTGTCCTGTTTCTTTCATGTGTTGGAAAAGAGAGGGTCTATGAAATACCCTGCAAAGTCTGCCCAGCCACGTACATTGGACAAACAAACAGACGAATAAATGCACGTATCGCAGAACACAAGAATGCCGTCAAAAAAGAGGAAAAAACTTCCTCTCTTTTCCAACACATGAAAGAAACAGGACACGAAATTAATTTTGCAGATTCCAAATTGCTCTTTAACATGGAACATCACCACAAGAGAATAATCATGGAAGCCATCGAGATAGAGAAACACCCTCACAACATGAACAAGCGTGATGACACATCCCGCTTGCCAGACATCTGGAAATTAGCCCTCCCCACAAAAAACCGACACCAGATCCAGAGGCACACAGAACGCCATCACCAATCAACCACACCAGACCCAAACCCAGACCCTCTCCACAGATAAATTACAGACACCATCCAGTAGCCAAACCATGGTGGAACCTCCGGATGCTGCACCCCCCTGCAATCCCTACACAGATCTGGCTGGCACAGGCCACAAAACCACAGCTCGCCCCTATACACGAAGCCAAGCCAGAGCCAAGTTCAAGCCAAGTTCAAGAGGTCAAGACACGAAGGCTTTAGCAACTAATCCACACCTAATGACCCACCCAAGTGGTACTCAGGATATCACTCAAGAAATCACTCCAGATATCCCTCCAGTAATTAAGGAACAAAAGAAGAAAAGGCACACTAGCCTGGGAACTTCCTCCCTGCCCAGAACATTGGAGGCTATACACCACACCTCCTCAACAGTATTTATAGGAACTCAAACACTGAGATCCTGCTCTGTTCCAGTAACAAGAAGCCGAAAACACCAGCCTGAAGATGACGAGTGAGACCTCGTCGAAACGTCGCCTAGACACCCCAACTTTTACACGGGAAGACACCCGAGGACACCAAAACCTGCATATATATATATATATATATATATATATATATATATATATATATAAATTTAACTTATTCATTACTATAATTTCTGTATACGAAATATCTTATAAACTTTCCATTTGTATACTCAAATTCTGAATACTTAAAAAACTATATACCTATAAAATAAATAATACGCCTCTGCTTTGTTAAAAATGTGTCAATTTGGATTTTTTTAAAAGAAAACTTTGATAAACTAGGTGAAAAATAAATGGGCTCTCAGAAGATCTAATAGAGCAAAGGATTTCTTTAAGGGAGAAAAAAAATGTGTGTGCATGTAGAGTGGAGGGAGGGGGGGAATTGCAGAGATAAGGAAAGATAAAAACAGGAACCAAGCTTAGCTAATGTTGTAAAATCAAGATGGTGCCCTGAGGTTTCTGTCAGTCTCTGTTCCCTGTACTGTGAGTTGGAACATTGCCAAGGCATTTTGATGCAAGGGAGCTACTTCCCCGTTTTTAAAAAATGGAACTCTTTGAGGGTGACCTTCTTCCCCTTTTCATGTAGCGCCTTTTGTAATTTCTGCATTGAGGAATCCACATGGAAGCGAGTTGCCCAGAGGGGAATTATTAACCTGAGCCTGTTTCCTTCAGGTATCATCCGTGAGCCTGGCTGATCTGGGAGCAAGATGCAAAGGCTCCAGACACGAGGAAATCATCAGTCGCCAGAAAGGCGCCCTGGCTGAGCTGCGGCAAAGAGTCAGAATGCTAGAAAGGGGTCACCCATTGGGTGAGTGCTACATTTCATGGAACGCTTGGAGGCAGTGATTTGTGCAGGTAGCTTTTGTAAGTTGCGGGATGAATTTGGGTACCTGAGAAACAGCAGTAAGAAATCAAGCATTGCTGTAAGGCTTCTCTCCTGCAAGCACCTGCACAGGTCTAGTGTAAAACACACATATGGTAACAAGTAGCTTGTTAGCGGAGCTACTACATGCCTTTAAATTCAGGTACAAATGCTCAAAATGGCTAAGTTCCACCTCATGAGGAGTTCTTCATAGCGCTGCAACACCTGCCTTGCTCTGTGGGCTCTTCCATGGGTCCAGAATAGACATCATCACATCCTTGTGTCAGAAACTTCTATAGCAGGGGTGAAGATCCTCAGACCCAGGAGCCAAATGTGGCCCTCCAAGCCTCTATCTGGCCCTTGGGGTGCTCCCCAGCCACACCCCTTCTCCCCAAGCTATGCCCCTCACCAGTCCTGCTTTGCACCCTCTTGAGTATTTTTGCCTGGTGGGACTGAGTCTTTGAAGTCTGATAATGCTCCTTGCTTGCCCGGGTGGAGAATGGAGAGAACGGTGCAAGTGTCTGCAGAAATTCACAGAGGTAAAAATTCACATTTGTTTCTCCGCCCCCTTCAGCCTCTGGCTCCACCCACCACTGGCAGGTGGCCCTCAGACTCCCTGCCCCATTCTGTGAATTAATAGAAAGAGAGCAATTTAATGAATTGCCATTGTGTGTGTGTAAAGGATTAAACACCTGCTCACCACTTCTCCAGTTGAATTTTGAGTTTCATGTGAGATAGAAAGTGTCTAGTCCAGATCACCAAGTGAGCAGAGATTTGAGCCTGGGCCTGTCCTGCCCTAGTCCCAATCACTCCACCCCATAGTCTTCGCCCTCTTTTCCCTGGAATCTTTCATCCTTTGCAAAACGTGTTTAATGTGAGTTTCAAGTGAAACGGGAAGTGGCACAGTACGACGACTTCTCTTTCTCAGGTTTTGAAGAGAGAATTGGAGAGCCACTTAGAGTGCTGAAAAAAGGCCCAGCTGAGAAGGGAGATGAAAGAACAGAGAAGGAGCAAGTGACAACCCTGATGACAGCAGCGGATGCTAATCAGGTAAACTGAACAATGCACGGTATCCTGGTGATGCTTTCTTTAGAAAACGTGTCATGAAAGGAAGGAAGAATATTTGTTGATGTCTTTTTGGCCGTAGCTCCCACCTCGATAATCTATTCTGAATATTTCAGAATACATTATTTTACATTAGGAAGAACTTCCTGACAGTAAGAGCTGTTTGGCAGTGGAATGGGCTCCCTCAGAAGGTGGTGGACTCTCCTTCCTTGGAGGTTTTTAAACAGAGGGTGGATCAGTCATCTGCTATGGATTCTTTAGGTGTGATTCCTGCATTGCAGGAGGTTGGAGTCTCTTCCACAATGCTACAATGCTATGATTCTATTTCCTTTACCCTCCCAGCTTCAAAGCAGTGTTTCCAGAACAGATCCCAACTTGACCATAGAGAGGACTGCGAAGCTGGAAATGGCTGACGCTTTAGACCTCAGTGAGAACATGGTATGAAAATGAAGAATGTGTTAAAGTACTTTGGGGTGGGCGGCCGGGGCTTTGTGTTGCAGAGGACATCAGAGCATGCAGTCCTCTCCTGATCTGTGTCTAGGGGCAGAGATGTGCTCCCAAGAGAGCGTGCTACAAATACTGTTATTACCATGCGCTTACATCAGCGATGGTGTCAGGTTTGAGCCCGCCCATCAGCAAGTGCCCTCAAGTACCCACCCCATCCCCTGCCTTCAGCAGGCTTCCCCTTGCCATGGTGGCAAGACTGGCAGCGAGCAGCCGCATTGCAGTCTGCAGGATGTGGCTGTGAGCAACCCAAAAGTTTTTTAAAAATCTACCACAGTGCCCAGAACCATCCTCTACCAGCATGGCCTGGGGTCAGATGGGCATGCCTTTCCAGGGCAGATTGGCTTCAGCAAATTCCCAAAGGTGCCAGAAGCTGACACTGACCTTCATTTGCATCAGGGCTGAGAAACCTCAGACTGGGGGGGGGGAGCAAACCAAATGTGGCCCTCCAGGCTTCTCTTACCTGAACTCCTGCCAGGCCACCTCCGCTTCCTTCCTCTAGATCAAGTGTGTCTGCCTGGATGGATTATACAGGGAGGTGTATGTAGGGTGAGCCGTGTCTAGAAACCTCTGACATAACAAGGGTAAGAGTCATATCTGTGGCTGCACCCAATTCTGCCTCTGGCCCTACCCATCGCTGACATGTGGCCCCCAGAAGGTTACCCATGAGGGAGTACGGCCCTCAGGCTGAAAAAGGTACCCTGCCTCTGGTTTACAAGGCTGCATAGTACTGATCATAGCCCTCCTATGGATTACAGGTGGGTGAACCAGGAAGATGAGTGGGTTGCTCACTTAGCTCTGCAGCTTCAGTGGTAATGCAAAGCGAAGACATCCACTTGCTTTCAGAGTGGGGGTTCTTTTTCCAGCTTGGGAAAATCCTGCCATTCTCGCTGATAGTTTGCTCCCTACTCTTTCCCTCCAGTACCTCAACCTGATCCAGGATCTCGCCAACCTGGTGAACGTCAAGGAGCTGACGGGGATGCAGACGGTGAAGCACCTTCCTTATGATGAGAGGGAGAAGCTTGGGGTGCGACGGCAGAAGGACCTTGGGCTGCTCTTCGACAAGATCAGGAAGCTCAAGGATCGCCTCGAGAGGAAAGAGTCGCTGCTGAAAGAGTACGAAAGGGACGTCGGGCAGTTCAGGTACAAAGGTGACACGCGCACACAGTGTCTTTTGGGCACCTTTCTTTTTCAAAGAGCCTTTTGTATTGATTTATGTCCCGCCTTTTTCCTCGATGGACTCAAGTCAGCTTACAGATAAAATAAGAACTGCTAAAAACATAGGGGAGTGGTAAACCAGTCATTCAAAAACAACTAAACATTAATAGAATTAAAACTCTCTCTTTATCTCTCTCTCTTTATCTCTCTCTCTCTATATATATATATATGAGAAATATCTATTTTTTAAAAAAGAGATGATTGCAATAAAAATGGCATGGCACCAGCCCTTTAATTAAGGGGAGACTCTTAATTAACTCAGTCTGTGTCTGTATTGGATTTGAAATTATTTATATATATATATTTATTCTTCATCTTTTAATTAATGATTTTATCAAGTTTCTGTTAATTTTGAACTGTTTCATGGAAAGGGATTCAGAAACGAAATGAAATAGATAAGGTAGCGCTTGATAAATTTGTCATGATTGAAGCTCATTCCATTTATTATGAGGGGTGGTGGCATGTATTCATTTTTTCTGGGTGTTTCTTTACCATCCACTCAGCGGTGTCCTCAGTGCAGTTAAATATAGCGTCATGCCTGAACATTGTCTATAGGCGACTAAAGAGTTCCTGTAGGTGACCAAGCAGGAGTGCTTTTAGGAATTCCAAGCACTGGTTTTTGTTGATTAGTAACTTCTAATGACTTGCTGATTTCGCTTATTGTAAGCTTCAGGGTAATGTTTCCCTTTTATAATGCGGTTTGCAACACACCAACTTCCAGCTACCCTGTCTGTCTCATCGCACAGGACAAACAAGCAGACTCTGCAAGCCTGCCAGTCTGAGCTGGCCAAATTGGCTGACAAGATCTACCGAGAAGCTGAAGAGAAGGCTTTGCTGAAAGAAGCTCTGGAGAGGACTAAATTGCAGCTGACTCAGGAGAAGAAGCTGAACAGGGCTCTTAAACAGCACAAGGTTGGTAACAGAGATCCACAGCGCCACTGGCAAACCTCTGCACAGCTACACTGCCGGTGTGAAGGCCGTTTAGCAACCTCTGCACTTGGCCAGGTGTCATTTGACAGCATCTTCCAGGCCGCTGCTGTGTTTGTATTTTGCTCGCCCCTTGGGGAGGAGAACTGGCTGAGCAATGGGGAGGGTTTGTGTGCCACCCCCTAGGGCCAAATCTTGAAGGGTCGCCATCATCCCAGGGGAAAAATCCAGCTCAGCTTCATTCACGGGGCGAAAGGAGAACAGAATGCAGTCAATTGGGGATAGGAGGCAGGAGGCAGAAGGGACAGAGAAAGTCTTTTCCACATAGGGACCCTTTGCACAGAAGCTAGTTCAAGCAGCCTTGTAAGTAAGCCCGCCTCCATCAAGTTCCTAGACTGCAGAAAAAGATACTACTTCCCTGCTGGGGGCTCGCAGAAAGGGTAATGGAGAGCTGTGTACTGCTGGGTGCCAAGGAATAGGCTTTTTTTCTCTAGGCTCCCACTTGGTTTCCACATTAGCTGTAGAGGAGAGATGGAACATTCTCCTGCCAGCCCCTCACTCTTCTGCATGGAACTCTGTGTGCTCACCCACATGCTACCCCTGGCCGCCTATGGCTACCAGGCTAGTGCTTAAATGTAAGGGTGAGTTTTTGGGGAGAGGAAGACTCTCCTGGTCTGCTCGTCTTCCATGGCCACGAGTATCAGGACTGGGGATCTTCCTGGTTGCACGAGCTGCCATATGATTTTCAGTTTCAGGGCATGTGGGCTGCTCTGCCCAGTCTAGACCACCTGCCCACCAAGCAAGACTATGCCAGTTAAGGCCACTGTGCAACAGGTTGTCTTACCATTCAGCAGCTGTAGGATATAGGAAGTTATCGTATGCCAAATCATATTATGGGTGCACCTCGTTCTGTATTGTCTACCTTGGCTGGCAGCAGCTGTCCAAAGTGTCAGACAGGGCTCTGTCCTAGTCCTACCTGAAAAATGTCAGGGGTTGAGCTTGGGACCTTCTGCAGGTAAAGCACTCTTTCAGTCACTTTTTGCAGAAAAGTCATACAATGCCATCACCAATATGTTACATTCTGTGTCTCTTTCCTGATCTGTGATAACCAACCTCCTTTTAAAATGCAACTGCAGCGCCTGTTGATTAGGAAAGTGCTGCTGAGGGCCTTCAGGACTTCTGTGCCTCTAATTAGAAACTTCCTTCTTTCAGCTTCGCCCCCTGTAATTGCTTCCTGTTCAGCACTAGTTGCTGCTTAATTAATGAGCTCCTGTTCCCCGGAGAGTGGTTTTATTGGTCTGCTCTCCTTATTTATTTCCTTCATGCTGTTAAACTTGCTAATTAGGGGGGAATTGATTAGTAACCCTGCGGCTGCACTGAAGCGAGTAACAACACAAGCAGGGAAAGCTTTTAATTTAAGTTGCAGGCAACCTTTGGAGAATGGAACTTACTTGTGAACTTACTTGTGAACTTACTTGTGAACGAACATGATAGAAGCATCTTGGCCACCAGGATAGACATTTCCAGATCTAATGGTGCTATCTTAAGTGCCATTTTCGTTCCAGGTTGAGCTTGACTGCTGAAAAGCATCTCCTCCACAGCATTAAGGAGACCTTAGTATGGAAGCAGCCTTTCTATTTCTGTATTTCTGTAGGGTGAACAGGCTTGAAGGCATCACTTAGGAGCAAGGAATGAGAAATCCCTGTACTTGGAGAAACCCATAGTCACACGCCATCGAGTTCTGTCCTAATCCCCGATGCTAGAGATGGAGTATTGTTAGGGCATCTCTCTCTCTCTCTTATTAAAGGCAGCAGGTTGCTGGGGCTTGACTTGCAAACTGAGTTAGGTGACAATTATATACACAAGTGCACATTCCTAATTGCTTTAGGCTGCAGTCCTTCACTGACTGACATCCCTGCCAGCTTAACTGAAAACACAGAGACTTATTCCAGCGCACTCGACCAACACAGCTCGGAGAAAAGCGGACGGCTGCATTGTTTCTTAGCTCTGTTGCTTTGCCAGAGAGAGATTTGCCATTTGTTCCCTGCTGTTTCCACCCTAGAATCAGTTAGAGGAGAGGAAGAGTGAGATTTCGTCATGTTACGCCTGCACTCTGAAATTCAGGGATAGCAAGGTAGGAAATTGCCTGGCCAGTGTAGTAAGAGTGCCTCTTAGCCGACAAGCCATAAATGAAGATAGTTGGATAATATAAGTGGGGAGGGGGAGGTCCTGAAGAGCAGGGGTATCATTGTGGAAACCTGCTTGCTTTTTCAGAAAGCCCTCAACTTCGTTTTGTGTGTTCTTGGCCCACCAGGCCATTTTCCCCAAACCACACCACTTGCCCACAACTGGCATCATATGTGATATCCGGTGTGGGGCAGGTAGGAGTGCAGCAGCAAGATTGAGCTCCTCGCACATCATCTGATAGGCAAGGATTTTGGTCCTGCTTGGTTTGGGTGTGTGAGCATGTTCCCTGGGAGGAGCCTGCTGGCACACCCATCCCTGAGTTCATCAGATGATGGGCAGAGAGTTTAACCCTGCTTGGTTTGAGTACATCCACGGGGAAGTCGCTAGTGTGCTGAGAGCTTGAGGAGCAGGACTGAAACCCTTTGAGTTACCCTTTGTGGAGAATTCAATCCTACTCGGTTGCTCTTTGCCCCCACCCCCGCAAGCTGGTTTTTGACAGGCATTTGACTTGCCGTTTTTGCTAAAGTATAAATGTAGAAGCACACACATGCATTTTGCTCTGTATCTTCCCTTCTCTGTCTTATGCAGATGGCAGCCCCTAAGAAACCATTCCCTGAAAAGCAGGTGGTTGCGGGGCCAGGAGCAGCCTGTAAGAAACGAGTGCACTGCAGCACCTCTGCGTAGGAACAATTCTGCTTACCCAAGGAAAGCGACAGAGAAGGAAGATTCTGGCCAGCTCCTTGTCTAAGCTTGTAAATAGAAGATGCTGCTACAACATTGCATAAAACACCTGGTGTCTTATTATACAGAATTTATTTATATACATATATGTATATGTATAGACTTATTTGTACAGATAATACTCATATATGGTACATTGTATCTTGATTACGAGAAATGTATAGAGACTCAACTCAAAATTATGTATAAATTCTTAAGATCTTCCGATACCTGTAACAGGGTTTTTTGTGGGGGAGGGAAGAGAGATGGATTGTATCCCGTGTTAGTCCTACTCAAAGTAGACCCATTGATGGCGGTAGTCATGACTAACCTAGGTCCATGAATTTCAGTGTGTTACTTTTGAGTAGGACTTGGTTGGATGCAACCTTTTGTCCAATCTGGAATCCCATCTTTTGGAATCGTGGATCTGGTTCTTTTGTACATCATCATTTGACAGATTTTATTTATTATGCATGCCTGCATGGTGGGGAGGTTGAGCTAGATGATCCTTGAGGTCTCTTCGAAATCTGCCTCCCACCTTAGACGAAGGTTTGCAGGAGTATTTCAGCCAAGCATGGGAAAAGGCACCAAGTCAGACAGCAGATCACCAGGACCACAGCTAGCAAAAACAGGAGATACCAAGCACCAAGCTCACAGAGGAGTAGCTTTGAATGTTGGCCAAATGCTGATCTGGAGTCAACTGAGAGTTTTAGTAAGTCCTACAAAGGGAAAGTTTTTCATTCAGAGGCATCTCTATATAAAGTTGAGAAAGTCTTTTGTCCTCAACCCTGAAGAGCCACAACCAGTGCTTTTTTTCCTAAAGAAAATATTTAGGGGTACTCTCATTTTGACTCCAGAAAATCACCATTTTATAGTTCAAATCAGGAAAAATAAATACAGTAAATGGACAAAAGTACAAAGATTCACAAAATGTTTAGGGGTATGCGTACCCCTGCATACCCCACCCCCAGAAAAAAAGCACTGGCCACAACCATTGTAGGCAATCCTGAGCAAGATGAATCTACAGTGTGACTTGGTATAAGGAAACTTCCCATGTTCCTAAACTTTGCAAAAGGTGGAAGGGATTAACTTCCTGTGTTCCTATGCAGGTCTGAGCCTGGTCAGTGCTTGGACGGGAGACCGCCTGGGTACCACGATAAAAGACATGTGGCATACAAAGCACATATAAAAGACGGAACTGTGTCACTGATAACTGTTGCCTTCGCAGTTGGGGGAAGCCCAGGGAAAGATCAGGGGAATTGATCTCCTGGGAGAAATCATTAGGATGTTTTACATACAGATGTGCTGATAACCAAGAACCTTTCTGGTTTACTCCAGAGCCCCTTTGGCCACATCTGCGTTCTTTCTGCAATATACAAGGGTTTATTTCAGGACAGCACACACCTTGCACGTCTCCTCTGCCTCGGAACATTTTGCAACAGCCATCCCCATCTGTTCTGCGAAGACTGGTTGGCATCAGATCTTTCCCAGTAGAAATTCTGGAGTAATTTGTTCATGTTCCGTTGAGCATTAATTACACCCTCCAGAAATAACCGTTTGCTAGCCCCCGTTAGTTCCCAGCAATTCCTCGAGCTGACCTTGCCAGCAGCCAACTCCTGGCATCTGTGTCTTGAGGCTCTAAGTGAGATGTTGACATCATCTCCCTCTTTTGCTGTAGATGAGTTTTGCTCTTCTAATACCATTCAAATGTTCTCTGATAATTCCGCCATCCATAAAACAATCTGTTACGTTAATGAAAAGCTTCACACTTTCAATTACAGAAAAGGGTTTCTCCCATTTTCACTGCCACCACTCCAGTCATCCATCAAAACAGATTAAACCACTATCCTTATATAAAATAAAATAAAATCCCCCCACTCATCCAGATTGGCCTCCTATCATGAAGACGGGGGGGGGGGGGCTGACTCTCCAGAACTGCCATGTGGAACCAACCTGTTATCGTCCTCGGTGTTGTCAAAAATAGGCAGCAACAAGCACAAATCAAAGCTATCCAAATAATGCATATTGCCAGGAATCTCAAAAATACAGCGCCGAAGTTATGAACATCCTTGGAAATCCAGAAAGCCATCATTTAGAAGAGCACAGTCTCCATCTGGGACTCAGATCTGTGCGGGTAAAAATCTCTGTTTGCCACAATGCGAAGGGATCAAGCTGTACGTTTACAGGGTGAGCATTTTGCACAAGTCCAAAATGGGATTTTTTATTTTTATTTGCAGGATTCCTAAACTGTTTTGCAACCCAAAAGTTACCATACCCATGTATAATAAACAAATAGACTACAAAAGATTACATAGTAAATTACCTAAAAAGCAATAATACTATCTCTACAGTTGTACAATTAATTCCGTAAAATGACTAGGCCATCCTTCAAGGGAAAGTCTTTCCTAAACAAAATATCTCCAGATAGATGTCAAAAACACCAGGCACTTGTCCCCTTTCCATTGGCAAACTGATTCCAGAGGGCTGGAGTGGCAATGCTAAAAACCGTTTCTAGTGCACCTCAGGGCAGTACTCATAACAACGCCTTATCAAAGGCTTGTTTCCAGCACAGAGATGGAGAAATGTGTCAATTTCATATTATTTCAGTTTCTCATTTTTTTCAGTTCCGTTCTTGCTAAGTTCAGTTCTCCACATTTCCACAGCAATTTGCAGCTTTCATTTTTCAGTGTGCACACAAAAAATGGTCAGCATTTTAGAGCACATTTCTCCAAAGGCCTCAGTGTAAAGGCAGTTTCCTAAGTTCCTATGTTCTTTCCCCACAAGAAGAAAAGAGGGCTTTACTTTAAGGCTAATAGAGGAACCAGGGTGGGTGGGTTGTTGGGATCCCAGCTGGGGAGAAGACATAAACTTCCCCTCCAAGGAAAATGTCACCCCTATGTATTTATTATTAACTTTATTTTTAAAGCCCCAATGAAAGTGTCCCCTTCTGCACTTATGATTTTTATTTTAATGCACTTTCTAAGGATGCATTTAATGTCCTGTCTTATTTTGACACACTAACAAAAGCATAACAAGGGATACAAAAAGACAAAAGAGAGATTTCTCCGGAGACGAGCATTAAAAAATCAGGGCTGTCACTGTCAAATAAGGACATCATGCACAAACAGCCTAAACTATGGTTTTGAACCCTCAAGGCTGGCAGTGCCGCTTCTCCTGCGTGACCCAGCTCTGCCAGGGCAATCAGTATTAAGAATGCCAGCGCTGGGACGTCATAATCCCTTGCACAGCAAAGGCTCCTGTGTCACAAAGGAGGATTATGACCGCTGCAGGGGATTCCAGCGGAAACAAGCTGAGCTGGAAAGGAGAAAGCTCATCAGAACTCAGATGTCAGAGGCAGTGGATAGACGAAGCGGAATTTAAAGCAATTTGCCTGCCTCTGTTTTGTGTGCCCCCCCCCCAAGCAAAAACACTTCCCCATCCAAGGAGCCCCTGCGGTCATTACCACCATATGCCTTAATGTCACTAAAAAGCCCATTGTGTGTGCCCAGATCCACAGCAGAGCATGGATATGAAGGAGGGTTTGTCCCCTTGCTGCATATCTGCAGTGATTGGACGCTAATGCTACTCCTGATGTGGAGACCACAATGACTCCGTAGAGGGTGACTGCAAGCCCAGAGCAGTAATGCATGCAGAGGCTCAACAGCCAGCCTCCTCTGAGCATGTATAATTGTGCAACTGTTAGGGATTATTTGGAAATAAATAATAAAAATACTGTATGTAAATGTCCTTATTTAGATCTATGATGTGGCCACATTTGGAACAGACTGTGTGTGTACACGTTTGGTTGCTGCCGCTTGAAAAGGAAGTTTATCGTTATTCTTACTTATTGAATTTGCCGTTTGCTTTATCTTGCCCAGCAAGATATACTAATGTGCACACAGATGACTTCAACTGCTTTCTGCAGAGTACTGTAGTTCTGGTGCATCCATCGGACTTCGATATCTAGAAAAACACCAAAATACTCAGTCAAAATACTCATCTATCATAAAAACTGCAAGCAAGATTTCAATATCTCCAGAACTCTTCATCAGGAAAAGCAGTGAAGAAAGAGAAATAAGCAGAAAGCTTTCTTAATGTTGATGCTACGAAATCTGCATTTTGTCAGGGTCTTAAGATATCACGTAGGAGGAGATTGTAGTCTTAACTGGATTAGTCCAGAATCCATAGTAGGGCAATACCTTTACAGTGGTACTTCAGGCGCTTCAGGTTACAGACTCCGCTAACCCAGAAATAGTACCTTGGGTTAAGAACTTTGCTTCAGGATGAGAACAGAAATTGTGTTCCGGTGGCACGGCAGCAGCAGGAGACCCCATTAGCTAAAATGGTGCTTCAGGTTAAGAACAGTTTCAGGTTAAGAACGGACCTCCAGAACAAATTAAGTTCTTAACCCGAGGTACCACTGTATTAAGCTAATACTACTTCCTTTGCTTTTTCTGTTACCTAGAAGTTAGGCGTCTGTTGTGGCATTAATCTGATTATTGGTGAATTAATCAACTAAACTAACAGGGCATCCATCGCTGGCTCCCACTCAGATGTTTGACAGCAAATGAGGGAGAGCACACTGAATCCAGCTCCCCACCCCACCCCAAATAGCCAGGTGAGCAAGTGCAGGGGGGGCGGGGCTCCGTACTTCCAGCCACTTCTCTCCTTGCAGAGAGACATGTAAGAGAGAATGTAAGAAAAGCACGCAGATACTTCATTTATTCTGCAGTTCCGAGTGGAAATGGGTTCTGGCAGAATTGGCCTGAGCCTCGAAGAGCACATTGCACTGGAAGAGGAAGTGAGAAAGGGTGACAATCATCCAGAAACCTTTGTGCCCACAAGTATCATGTTAGAAACACAGAACTGTAGAGTTGGAAGGGACGCCATGGGTCATCTAGTCCAACCCCCTGCAATGCAGGAATCTTGGGGGATTCTACACTAGAGTATGGAAGCTAGAAAGCTGTGCCAGAGGCCAGTGGCGTAGCGTGGGTTGTCAGCACCTGGGGCAAGGCAAGTAATTTGTGCCCCCTAACCCGTGGATTTTTCGCCCCCTAACCCTAACCCCCAGTTGTTGCGCCCGGTGCGGCCGGCCCCCCCTGCACCCCCCACGCTATGCCACTGCCAGAGGCTTTAATGTTTAGCTGCCCCTCCTCTCAAAAAAAGCACTGATTTTTCAAGTATTTAAACTGAGTCCACGACTCTGCAAGCAATTAATTACCTTA